TCCTGGGAATCGAACTTAAACACTTCACTGATGGAGCTATCTCCCATGGTCCCATTTTTCATTTCATTTGAGGTCCTGGGTTTGATTCCAATGTACATACTAGGTAAAATCTCCACTGCCGAACTACACTGCCATACTTCCCTTTCTAAAAATAGTTCTTAATGTAAGTGAATAAATGTGCGTGGGACGTAGTTTCTGGTGCGCATACCCTGTTCGATTTTTCGATCTGAATTCTGTTCCCGAAGGCTTTTCTTTATACGCTAAGGTCCCAGGCAGCGAAACGTCCCCAGAGCCCTCTACCGGTGGCGCGCCGACCCGCAGTCCCGGTTTTCTCACAGATGAAAGCCGAATGCAGGACAGCAACAAGCTCTCAATGCCATCCTCATCACGAGGAGTGAGTGGATAGGTAGGTCAACGCGAGATGAGAAAACCGGAAGTTGCAGTGGGCAGCCGGACTGGAAATGTGGAGACACCGGAGTGAGCCTGCGGCCTAGCCAGGGCTGTCCAGGGAGAACGCACGCCAGAATGCGCAGGAAGGAAGGAGGGTGGGCGGGGCCTGGCGGGAAGGGCGGGGCCTCCGGGCAGGGAAGGGCGGGGCCTCCGGGTTACAGCCTGGCCAGGCGCATTCTGTGGGTCCTGGGCGGGGTGGAGTAATGTCCTAGCTTGCGTCTAGGATTTCTGGTGTAGGTGTTCTGGAGAATGTAAAGCTCTTTGCTGACACGAGTTATTTATTGCTTTGGGCTCTGGTGCTCCGGACCCTCTAAACGTATTTCTGTGCAGTCGATGCATCGCGGGGTCCTCTCCGCATTTCTAGAGGTGTTTGGTAGTCTTTGAAGATTTAGTAATTTTTCTTCTTTTTTTTTTTTTCTGAGACAGGGTTTCTCTCTGTAGCCCTGGCTGTCCTTGAACTCGCTCTGTAGATCAGGCTGGCCGCCAACCTCACGGAAATCTTGCTTTTGCCTCCTAGTTCTGGAATTAAAGGCGAGCGCCACCATCGCCTGGCTGTCTTTTCTTTCCTTCCTTCTTCCTGTCTTCTACCTTCCCTCCCTCCTTGATTTTCGAAGCAGTGTTTCACTGTGTAGCCCTGTCCTGGAACTCACTCTGTAGACCAGGCTGGCCTCGAACTCCCAGAGATCCCCTTGCCTCTGCCTCTGCCTCTGCCTCTTAAGTGCTGGGATTACAGGTGTGCGCCACCACCGGCCATCTTGTCATTTTGTTTTAAAACTATTCCTCGGGTTCTCACCTGAGCCACCATGCGGGTTCTGGCAACCGAAATCTGCTTCTCTGAAAGAGCAGTAAATGCTTTTAATTGATAAATTATTCTGGGGCCTCCAATTTATTGATTTAGTCTATTTTATTAATTATTTGAGAATTGCATACAATGTATTTGGGTCACAGTTACAGCCCTTCCTGCCCCTAACTACTCCTAGATCCACATGTCCCTATCTTCCCAAATTCGTGCCATTTAAAGAAACAAAAGCCCATCAGGTCCAACTATTTTTATAGTTGTAGTTCATGCTGGTCTTGAACATGTCATGTAGACCAGGATGACTTTGCATTCCTGATCCTCCTGCCTCTACTTTTCCAGTTCTGGAATAACAAGCTTACACCACAATACCCACTTTATTTGTTGCTGGAGATCCAACCAATGGCTTTGTGCGTGCATTCTATCAATTGAGTTACAATTGAAACTCTATTATTATTATTGAGACAGGCTCTCTGCATAGAGCTCTGTGTGCCCTAAGATCACTATGTAGACAAGACTGACCTCGAATTTACAGAGATCCTCTTGCCTCTGACTCCAGAGGGCTGGGATTAAAGGTAAGCACCACCATGTCTGGCCTACTATTTTTCTTTTTTTCCTCTCAGATTCTGCTATTTTCCCCTGTGCTCATCACTTTCTTTCCCAAGGTTATGTTTCTGAATTGTTCTAGTCTCCAATTCAGCTCTGTTCCCTTAATTGCTAGACTGGGTGTTAATGGGCTGTAATTCTGATTGCTCAAGAAATTTGAGTCAGGAGGGTCACAAGTTCAAGGTCTGCTTGGACAATTTAGTGAAAACTGTCTCAAAGTAAACTATTTAAAAACCAAATGGCTGTGGACTAGATTAATGGAAGAGCATCACCAAGCATGTGCAAGTTTTACACTCCAGCTATTTACAAAATGAATAAAATAAAAGTTAACTGCAGCATAAGAATGACCAGAGTTCTCTTAGAGTATGTGTATCATTGAAGGTGGAAACTCTGGGTCTTCCCTATGGAGACAGACACTGTACAAATGAGCCATACACTTAGCTTTAAATTTATTTATTATTTTTGTTTTATTTTGATTGTTGACACAAGGTTTCTCTGCATAGCCCTGGCTGTTCTGGAACTCCCTTTGTAGACCAGGTAGGCCTCAAACTCACAGGTCTCTGCCTCCTGAGTGCTAGGATTAAAGGCATGCCCAGCCACAGCCACAGCTAAATTTGAATTTTTAAATATCAGAACATTTGGGTTGTTCGAGATGGCTTTGCTATGAAAGTCTGGTGATTTGAGTTTGATTCCTATAAACTATATAAAAGTGGAAAGAGAGAATAAACTCCTCTACATTGTACTGCCCACCTGCATTTACATACATTTTTTTTTTTTTAAGATTTATTTATTTGTAAGTGTTCTGCCTGCATGTATCCCTGAAGGCCAGGAGAGGGCACCAGATCTCATTACAGATGGTTGTGAGACACCATGTGGTTGTTGGGAATTGAACTCAGGACCTCTGGAAGAACAGTCAGTGCTCTTAACCCCTGAGCCTTCTCTCAAGCCCCCTGTTCTTCATTTTTACGACAATGTCTAGCTATGTAGTCCTAGTTTATATGGAACTATGTAGCCCACCCAGGCTGGCCTCAAATTCTTGATAATCCTTCTGCCTCTGCCTCCTGATTATGGGGATTATAGCAACAAGCCTTTTGGGGTGAAGGGGGTCTGTCTTAGAACACTTGGATGAGTCAAAGCCAGCAGGCACAGTATGAGTTCCTGTGGACTCCAATCTAGGTCACCACCCCCATGCTATGTCCAAAAAGAACATTTCTCAATGGAATGAGAAGCACAGTCACTTTCTTCCCCCTTTGGAGCCTTGGTCCCTAAGGTCTGAAGGAACAGAGCCTTCCAGATGGTACCAGGATGGACAGCTGGGTAATCCCCCTTTTTAATGCTATTATTATTATTATATTATTGTTTGTGTATAGGTGTTTTGCCTGCCTATCTGTCTACATACCATGTGCATGCAGGATACTTGAAGTCCAGAGAAGTGTGTCAGATCTCTTAGGAATACCACTATGTAGGTGCTGGAGATTAAACGTAGGTCCTCTGGAAGAGCAGCCAATGCTCTTAACCTTTGAGCTATTTTTTCCCTAGCCCTGTCTTTAAAAAAAAAATATGTATGTATGTATGTATACACACACACACACACACACAATTTTTTTCAGCTTTATGATTTTGAGGCCAGCATGGTCAACATACTGAGTTCCAAGATAGCCAGAGTAACATAGTGAAAGCCTGTCTCAACAAACCAAAAATATTTTATTACTTATTTGTGGATTCTGTACAATGTAATTTGATCATACTCTTTCCCCACACCTCCCCCTATGCCTCTCAAATCGACTCTGGGACAATCTCTAACCCCTCTATTACTGAGCCTGAGTGCCCTTGAAAACTCCAATTTCTCTCCCATCTTGCAGCCATATAGGGCATAGGGATGAATTTCTTAAGTGCATTTGGGGATCCAGAACTCTGTGCCAGTCTGGGAGGACCCAGAAGAACTCCTAACCTAGGAGCCTGAAATGAATCCAGTGGCCCCATTGACAGTCTATGCCCTCCTGATGTGTGTGTAGGAGAGAATGGCACTGCCCCTTCCCTCAGTACAATGCTAACCCTTTAAGGGCTACTGCAAACTTTGAACCATCAAACACATAGGCTGTCTTAAAAATGCACCTTTATGTTTTTTATTTTGTTTTGTTTGTTTTTCGAGACAGGGTTTCTGTGTGTAGTCCTGGCTGTCCTGGAACTCATGCTGTAGATCAGGCTGGCCTCGAACTCGGAGATCCGCCTGCCTCTGTCCCTCGAGTTCTGGAATTAAAGTGTGCGTCATAACGCCGGGCGCATCTGCAGTTTTTCCTGATTCAGTGTTCATAGACACTGCTGGGTAGAGTAATCATTGTGAAGCAGCACTATGGATCTCGCCAACTCTCCCAAGCCAAGGCAGGTGCAGCCCAGGCTGCGGACCACCTGAACCGGAACCCTCGAAGCTGGGAACCGTATAAAGATGCAGCTGAGTGGGGAATAGGATCTGGAAGGGACTTCCTGTTGTCCCCCAGCCTTCACCGGACTTCCCGGCGGGTTCAGTTCTGGCTGCAGAGACTCTCTTCATCCCCGGCAGGGGGGCTCCACGGCACCCCAGGTTCCTCCTTTGCCTCTACCTTGGTGAAAAGGGGATGGTTGGGAGAGCAACGGGAAATCAGATTGTGCAATCAGCTTGCAGAAGGGGTCAGGGTCAAAGGTGGAAGGCTTCAGGCTGGCAGGAGAGAATAAGGGGGCTGAACCCAGGATGGGAAAGAGGAGGAGAACATCTCCCACCGGATGATGACGAGGGTGGACATACCCAGCGGGGACCTGCAGCTCTGCGACAACTGCCGCGAGCGGGCAGCTGATCGAGGATTCCAGGCCAAGCTGTGTCCAGCTGGGTCTCACGGCAGGCATCACCGCACTGGCGCCACTTTTGTAGGCTCTTCTCAGAACTTTCTGCGCCTCATGACAAGAAACCCTGATTTCGATTTAGCCCTCGCTTTCCCTGAGCTGGCTTCATTGATATTTGAGGCTCTTGCTTCAGTGACAAAGGGGACAATACCATTCCTTTCAAAGAAACCAGAAAACATCATTTAGCACAGGACTCCATAGGGTCTAAAGACTTCGTTTGCACTCTAATCGTCTGCATTCTAGAGCACTTGGGAAGTGTCCCCAGATTGATTTCTTTCCTCTTTTCCAGGTTCCTGGCTGAAACCTGGAGGGGGCTTGATGAGCAGGGGGAGAGAGAATCATTTCCTGTTGTCCTTTCTTTGATTGAGAAGATGTCTGCAGACAATAAAAACATCTTGGTTTCCAAAAGCAAGGAAAAAACCTATGAGGTATGGTGGGATCCTAGGGAGGGAGGGATGCCTTGAAATGGATCAGAGGGGATTTTTGAAACTGATAATCTGGACAACATGAAGGGTGAAAGTCACTGTAGGAGTGGGGCTTCCAGATGGGGTTGCTGGGCACGGGTTGGGGAGGAGGAGCATCATCATGGGAAATATCTTCCAATCGATATTTATAGTGTGTTTTTGCTTTGTCTAGTAGGGGCATAGTACTAGAACACAGGGAAATCTACTCCCTAATCCCTTTTTCCTATGCCATGCCTCCTTATGGCTTACTTCTCAGTCTGAGTTCTAGTTCTGTCTGTAATTGCTGCCTGCCCTTGTGGTGTGTGTGTGTGTGTGTGTGTAATGGCCAACTTTGGGGGTTCAGGTTTTCTGGGCTCAGAACACCTGATGTGTGACCTTGGGCCAGTGCCCTGGCCTGAGGGAACTACTTGTGCTCCGTGTAAAGTTTACTCATACACTTGCCATTCTTACCTGTCTCACTAGGTCAGTAGTAGGCTCAAAGGAAATAATGAATGTGAGAGTATTAAGTAAGCAGTTTGCCAGCCTGTAACTAATCATTACTGTGATACATGAACACCCAGAACTACTGAACCAAATATTTGGACCCTCCCACTAAGTTTTGCTGGTGGTTATGAGTATAAATAAATACACACTGGTACCAGTGCTGCCATTCTTATGATGTAGAAACCCAAAGAACTGCTAGCAGTGTTTAATGTCCCTGCCACAGCAGCTTTGGAAGTGGGGCCTCTGACATCTGATGAGCCTTGTATATCTGTATTCTCTGCTGAGATCAGATCCTGTCAGCTGCACACTGAAAAAGTAACAGTATCAATTACCTACACTGCTCTTGGCTTATCCAGAACCTTCTGGAGCAGTCAACTGTTTCTCATCCTCCTCCGAACTGTCTTAGGCTGGTGGTAGAGCATCTGAGTCTAGGCCATGGTCAGTCATGGATATGGCTGGATCTGGCTCCAGACTTTGAAGGTCCCTGACAGCGGACAGGAAGGAGAATATGTGCAAACTTCCAGTAGGCCAGCTGGTTACACCATGTCATAGACGGGAATTCACCAGGTATCCCCCAGTGCAAGGGACGCGGTAGAGCCCTGTGATTTGGGCCTTCTTTTAGCTCTCAGCCTGGATGTGTTGACTTCCTGTGGCTGCCTGTTAGGTTCTCACTAACCAAGAGGCCAAGCCCATGTAGATTTATTCTTGAACAGTCTTAGAATGCCCTGTGCTCTTGGAAGTTTTCAGACAGGAGCCTTTTCATGGCTCTGGCTAGTCTCAGAGCCATGTATGTGTATGGCTCCATCTCTGTTCTCCTCCTCCTTTTACTCATTTTTATATGTATATGTGTGTGTGTAGGTAGTGAAGGGTATTTGGGTATGAGAGCAGGTGCTTGCAGTCCAGAGACAGCATCAAATTCCCTGGAGCTGGAGCTGTCCAACATGAATGCTGGGAACCTAACTCCAATCTTCCGCAGGGGTAGCCAGTGCTCTTAACTGCTGATCCATTTTCCCAGCCTCTGTGCCTTTATTTTATTTTATTTTATTTTTGTATTTAGACAGTGCTGGAGATCAGACTTAGGACCCTGAACAAGCATTCTGTCACTGTGCTATGTTCCCCAGTCCTGTGTGTGCCCATGTGGTTGTGGTGGGTGTGGTGCATGTGTGCTGTGTGTGCTTTGTGTGTGTGTGTATGTGTATGTGTGTGTATATGTGTGATGGTGTGTGTGGTGCATTCATGTGTGTTACTAAGGACTGAAAATAGTCTACTGAGCTACATGTCAAATCCCACTTTTGACTTTTTATTTTTCAAACACATTTGCTAAGTTTTTCATGTGGCCTTGAACTCTCCTAGTAGCCATGGGAGCTCTTGAACTTGTTATCTTCCTGCTTCAGTTTCCTGAGTTGGCACCACCAGACCTAACTGTACCTTCTGTTCTTACCAAGATCTAAATCAGTGGATGTAGGACTTACTCTAAATTTCCAATTATTTAATTTCAAGATTGCTAACTTAATTGCTGCTCTAAAATGTGCCTTATGTTTGAGTGTGCATCCCACTTGCTGTTCGTCTCTGCTGTATATCCAGCCCAGTGCTGATAAGGAGTGTGATTCCTAGGTTCTTGGTCATGGACAATGCTATGGAGACATGCTTTCCGGGCAGAAGGAGACAGTACCCTTGGGAGCCTCTCAGGAGTCAACACACGTTAAGGCAGAACCAGAAGAACCACACCCTGAGGGAACATCACTGGAGGACAGGGCTCCAGGAACACAGGGCTGGATGTCTCCGAGTCTTGGCTGTAAGGGGAAAGCCCTGTTCCTTCCTGGTGGAGGTAGGAGAAGGGTGTGCTTTCTGGGGGAGACATTTCAGGGGGAGTTTAGGGTTTTACCAAGGGAGGGGCCCCAGATTTCCATCTTCCTCCTGTCATCCTTCTAGTGAGTGACTGGCTTCCTGGGTTGAATCAGGTGAGGGTTGAGGTAGCTGGGGGAGCATCATGGCCCAGGATATGTGCTGCCTTGAGACCTTGTCTTCCTGCAGCTCTTCCCTCACCCTGGATTCCTGTGCTTTCCCGAGGGGGAAGGGCTAGAGAACGACAGGTGGCTGCAGCTCTCCTCACAGCCTGGTCCCACGTAAGTGTCTCCTGAGGGTCCCTCCAGCCTCCCCAGGACAGAGGCAGGACTCCTTGTCTGTCTTTACACAGTACTCAGACCTGTCTGTAATTAGCTCAGCATGGGACTCTAGAATACTGCTTCCTGTCCTGTGTGGAGTCAGAACCCCCTGCTAAAGTGCTTCTGGGGCCACCTAAGAGCCCTTGCTCAGACATGCGCTCACAGCAGTCCTGTCCTCTGAGGTGGGTACCTTGTGGGGAGTCTGAGCTGTGGCCATGTACCCTAAGATCCTGCCTTGCTCTTGAATATCACCCTTCAGAAGGCCGTTCTTGGGTGGTTCTTCTGCTCCACCATTTAATCCAAGTGATGGGGTCACTGGAGGCAGCAGTATGAAGGCCTGCTGTTGTCATGTTTTTCTTCCCATGTCCACAGCAAACCCTGAATAGTGTTGTTTTCATGTTGTCTCAGATGCCAGTGACTTTTGAGGATGTGGCTCTGTACCTCTCCCGGGAGGAGTGGGGAAGGCTGGACCACACACAGCAAAATTTCCACGGGGATGTACTACAGGAAAAAAATGGTCTGGCTTTGGGTAAGGGCTCATCTGCAGTGGCAGCTTCTTGTAGTCTCAGGAATGTGGAAGGTTGCCGGTCCTTACCTCCCTACCCACCCCTGTCCTCTCTCCTTTATCTGGATAGCACTGCTCTGCAGAGCCTTCCACACAGATGGAAATGTCTGCATCTGTCTAGGACAGTGACCCCAAGTTGATTGCCTGTTAAATTTTAGGAACAAGAGAGGAGGGATTAAATTTAAATTTCATATGATCAGACTGGAGTTTGAACAGCCAGTGTCGGATGCGGTGGCTCACACCTGTAATCCCAGCAGTCGGGAGACAGAGGCAAAGGCTAGAGGATTGATGCTTACAGTCAGAGGTCAAGGTCTGCCAGGGTTAAGTAGTGAACTTATCTCAAAGGATGTTTAAAAAGAAGCAGCAGCCATGCCTGTGAGTAGCTGCGGCATTGCACAGTGTTGGTTTAGAACTGCTTTTCCTTTCACTGCATTCATTTATCACACGTGTTGTGTTCCTTCTCAGTGTCCCAGCTTCAGATGTGTCCACTCATCTGGAGGCTCCCTGGTTGAATGTGCCATCAGCTACCTTAAGCTAGAAGCAACTGCTGCTGCTTCAAGGAACCTATGGGACAAGATGCTCCTGCAGGGGTGGGAAGGGCTTTTGACTTCTCAGTTCCAAACTGATCTTAACAGAATGGGATGATGTCTTAGCTCTTCTTTGTCATCCATTCATTCATTATGTAGCTATTTCCAATTTACTAGTAAGGTGGAATCTCTGCCTAAGCGGTGTGTGTGTGTGTGTGTGTGTGTGTGTGTGTGTGTGTGTGTGTAAGGGGGAGTGAGAGATCACCAGAGGTTAACCTTGAGTGTTGTTATTTCAGTGATGTCCACTTTGTTGTTGTTGTTTCCAAAACAAGTTTTTTTTTTTTTTTTTTTTTTTTTTTGTGTAGCCCTGGCTGTTCTGCAACTTGCTCTGTAGACCAGGCTGGATAAAACTCACAGAGACCCACCTGCCTCTGCCTCCTGAGGGCTAGGATTAAAGGTGTGCACTGCCACTCACTGCCTGGATCACTTCTATTTTTTTGAGACAGGGTCTTTCATTGGTTTGGAACTCATCAGATTGTCTAGGCTTGGTAGCCATTGAGCTCCAGGTATCCACCTACCCATCATTAGGACTACAAACATTTGCCACTGTGTCTAGCTTTTAAAGTGGTTGCTAAGGATGGAACTTAGATACTCACACAGACTTAGCAGTTCTGTTGATGACTCGGATGGTGGCCCTGAGACCCATTCTGGGCACACCAACCACCCCATTCACTGCTATAACTACCTCAGGTTGCTTACTACCATTGTTAGTATTTCCCAGGGCCCAAGCCGACAAGTCCAAGCAAAATGTGGTCATCAGAGGGAACTTAGGACTCAAATGGGTTCTAACCAAAGACCTAACAAATTCCTGTCCTCCACAAAGGCATGGGAATCACAGCCCAACTCCCAACACAGCACATTGGTCCTGTGGTTGTTCAGTGTCCCAGCCTCTGGAGTTTGGCCTTTCTGCACTATCCCAGGCTGTCCTGAACACAAGTGCAGGAGTAGGTGGTCCTCAGTGGTCCTTAATGCTGGCCCACTGCTTGACAGCTGTGATGAGGAAAGGGACCTGCTGGACTGAGCTGACTCTATTCCTCCCTGGACAGTTCTGTTGTTTGCCCAGGGAAACAGGAGGTAGGGGCAACCAAGCTCTGGGAGAGGATAACTGGTGGCTACTGGTAAAGAGGAGGACTATCAGCAAAGGGAGATAATGTACTTTACTTTATGTGGTGTTAGGGATGTGCCTCACACATGCCAGGCAAGCGCCCTGCCACCCGGCCACACTCCAGCCTTTCTAAAAGGATAAATATATTTATTTATCCATTTGTTTAAATTCTGTTTTGGGATAGGGTCTCATATAACACAGCCTAGCCTTGAACTCATTATATAGCTGACCTTAAACTCCTAATTTTTCTTCATCTATCCCCTAAGTGTTGGAATCCCACAAATGTGCCACACCAAACCTGGACTTTTAAAATTTTTTAGTTACTAATTTTTATTGAGACAGACCTTCACTGTGTAATCTAGGTTGGCCTTGAGCTCTGTATCCTCCCTCAGCCTCCCAGATGCTGGCACCCATGCCTGCCTAGCTCTAAAGAGAATTTGAGAGCCTTTTGTTTTGCCTTAGGTTTCTAGGGTCCCCTCCCCTTTTTCCTCTGAGTCAGGTGGGGCTGGCAATAGGGAATGATGGGAGGAGTGTGGTTGAGGGGGTGATTCAACCACTGGGCAGAAGCACAGCTTCTCTTTCTGGACAGGGTGTCCGTTCAGCAGCCCTTTCTGGGTCCCCCAAGTTCAGGGGAAGGGCGAGATGACAAATACCAGCAGACCAGCAGGAGCTGAGAGGAGAGGCCTTGGTTCAGGTGAGGTCCTCAGCAGATGCCTTGGTTTGGGGCTCCCCCTTGTGGTTGTGCATGAGGGATTTCCAGACCCCTCTACTGCTAGAGGGTGGCTTTTGTCCCTTGACTTCCCCTTCTTCCGTCTCCCAGAATCTAGCTCCTGGGTTTTTAGCTCTGTCTTCCCTTCCCGCAGTCCCTCCAGAAGTTTGTCTCCAGCTGGCAACCCTGTCTTTTTGCAGGAGTTGTGGAAATGGGGAAGATGGTACCAACCCTAGCCGTGGCCACCCTCGGGGATATGAAACCCTTAAGGACCAGGGCCAGGTGGGCTTTGAGAGAAGAGCCACAGTGTGGTCAGCAAGTGGCTAGCGGCCTGGGTGCAAAGGTGGCCGGAGACGTTGGGGAAGCCAGGCAGCCAAAGCCACCCGACACAGGTTCTCCCAAGACCCCAGAGGACAGCGGCCTAGAGGAACACAGCGAGAAGGGTTCACTGGAAAGTGGCGAGGAGGGGCTGGTCCCCGACGGTGAAACGGGCAAGAAGACGTACACATGCGAACAGTGCGGCAAGGGCTTCAGCTGGCACTCGCACCTGGTGACACACCGGCGCACACACACAGGTGAGAAGCCCTATACCTGCACGGACTGCGGCAAGCGCTTCGGCCGCAGCTCACACCTCATTCAGCACCAGATCATCCACACAGGCGAGAAGCCCTACACCTGCCCCTCGTGTTGGAAGAGCTTCAGCCACCACTCCACGCTGATCCAGCACCAGCGTATCCATACCGGTGAGAAGCCCTACGTCTGCGACCGCTGCGCCAAGCGTTTCACCCGCCGCTCAGACCTAGTCACACACCAGGGCACCCACACAGGCGCCAAGCCCCACAAGTGCCCTATCTGCGGCAAGTGCTTCACGCAGAGCTCCGCCCTGGTGACACACCAGCGCACCCACACCGGCGTCAAGCCCTACCCGTGCCCCCAGTGCGGCAAGTGCTTCAGCCAGCGCTCCAACCTCATCGCACACAATCGCACACATACGGGCGAGAAGCCCTACCATTGCCTCGACTGCGGCAAGAGCTTCAGCCACAGCTCGCACCTCACTGCCCACCAGCGCACACACCGCGGTGTGCGGCCCTATTCCTGCCCGCTGTGCGGCAAGAGCTTCAGCCGCCGCTCCAACCTGCACCGTCATGAGAAGATTCACACCACCGGGCCCAAGGCTCTAGCCATGCTCATGCTGGGGGTGGCGGCAGGGGCGCTCACTGCACCCCCATCTGCTCCCACTTAGAAGCCAGAGAGAGACCACCCAGGGTAGCTGGGACAGTCTCCCGTGGGAAGACTTCTGGGTCCTAGATGGGGGTGAGGGCGGGGAGCTGTAAGGTGCCAATGCTGGCGCCACGTTGGGCATGGTGACGTGAGAGGAGGAGGGCAAGCACTGTAGTTGCAGATTCAAAGCCTTGGATTTGTCTGCCTGGTGCTTCAGCGGCTCTCTGAGCATCTGGCAGCTCTTGGTTCTACCAGGTGTCCTCGTTCAGGCATCCCTGAGGCACCACTTTGGGCCTGGGAAGCCTCTTTTCCCTAGCCTTATTTTGGGTCAGGGTCCCTTTTGTCAAGAGGCCTATTCCAGAATATTAGGGCATTTTTTAAAAAAAATCATTTTTGTGGTTGTTGATTTCTATATGTGTGTATGTGTGGGGAGTGCACATGCCACAGTGCACCTGTGAAAGGAAGTCAGTGAACAACCTCTAGAATCGGTTCTCTACCATGTGGTTCCAGGCATGTTTACCTGCTGAACCATCTCACCCTGGTTTTGTTTCTTGAGACCCGGTTTCATGTAGCCTAGGGTAGCCTGGAACAAGCTTTGTAACAGCTGCTCCTTGCCTCTCCCTTCTAGATGTAAACCACCTAGCCCAACTTGTGACCATAAGTCTATAAACAAAGGCTCAGAGTTCAGATTTCCCAGCTGGAAGACAGCCAGTCACTCCTGAAAATGAAGATTGGGAAGGGGTCCCTTTAGCTGATATCATGTCCCAAGCACTTGGCACTTGCTGAGTCTAGCTTCTCCTTTAACTTTTATGTTGAGAACCAGGAGCAGGGCAACTCATTTCTTGTCTACTGAATCAGATTGCCTGCCTTGGGCTCCTCACTGTTCTGTAGGTATCTCCTCTCCATTTGCTTACACTGGGGACTGCCAGGGAAACCCAGAATTCCTCATCAGGGACCACTCTCCTCCCTCATCCATTCTGCGGCTGCTGCTGGCTCTGTTGCTCACCTCCTTGGTATATGCCATTTATAATATGCTGTACCTTCCCATTGGTTTTGAACCAAAGTAATCTGTGTAGCATCCATTCCTGTTTGTTCCTTTTAAAGCCCAGGGTCCAGCCTATGGTCCTGCACTGTGGCTCAGCTGCTAAGAGAGCATTCAGCTCTGATACCAGAGAGGCCCCAGCGAACCACACACTGCAGCTCTGGGAGGCACCAGCTTCTAAGGGACACAGTTCTGTATCTTGAATAGGATACAGAGAATAGTAACAGCCACGGAGGCATGGAGCAGAGCCAGCTGATGGGATACATTGTATGCGATGTCTACATCACCTCTATTCTGCAAGCCCTTGTCTACATCACCTCTATTCTGCAAGCCCTGACCGGGTTTTATTGCCTCATTTTTGTTCTTGTTGTTTATTTATTTAGTGTGCATTGGTGTTTTGCCTGCATATGTATGTGTCTTCACCACTGAGTCATCTCTCTGCCCCCTGAATTACAAGTCACACTGGGAATTGGTGTCAGATCAGGTCTGTCAGGGTTGTGGTGGTTTTTTTTTTTTTTTTTTTTTTTGTTTAGACAGGGTTTTACTGTGTAGCCCTGGCTATCCTGAAACTTGCTCAGGAGGCAGAGGGCAGGAGGATCTCTGAGTTCAAGTTCAGCCTGATCTACAGAACAAGTTCCAGGATATCCAGAGCTATACATAGAAACCCTGTGTCAAAAAAAAAAAAAAAAAAAAAAAAAAAAATTTATTTTAATTTTATTTAGACAGGATCTCAGCTCAGATACCTGAAGTTGTCCTGGAACATTAAGGATGGCACTAATCACTGGTCATACCGACTCTGCCTCACAAATGCTGTAATTACAGATGTTTTCTACTACACCTGGCTAGATTGTCATTTATCAAAGAGGCCAGAAAGACAGATTGCTACCTCCATCTTGTCTGTGCAACAAAATGTCACTCAGCCAGCAATGGAATTTCTCTGTGTGGCTCAGTGTGAGGGGCTGAGGGGGCTTTCACCTGTGAAGTGGTCTTTCTCTGAGAACACTTTAATGAAGACAAGGGACTGCTCGAATAGACTTGTTAAAATTCATGGGACCTTAGTGTACGTACTCACTTGCACTATGGATATTGTTGACTGTAATTTCAGTTCCTCAGCTGTGTGCCTGGTGTATTGAGGTGTGTAGTGACCCACTGGACACATGACAGAAGTATGTTCAAAAGACAGGGACGCCTTGAAAAATGTTCGACAAAGAACAAATAAAATGAAGTGTTAGTATTGTGGGCCTCGAAAGCAACTGATGATTTGGTGGGTGGTGGGGTGTCATGAAAGGATGATGTCGGAGGGCTCATGACCACAGCTAAACACCTGGTATACTAGTGTGCCATTGAGAGCAGAGTGCCCACCAGGACAGCGAACGAGTTTCCTTCTGAGTTTCAGGCTTCATGGCTCAGGGTCCTGGTGGAGGAGTCATCTTAGCCATATGAAAGTGGAGGCGTTGGGACACGTTAGCTCCCCGGAGATCTCAGCCCGCAATAGGTAAGGAGTTAGACCACACTTTTTCCACACAGGAGACCCTGACCTCCCTTGTCCTCAGCCAGCCAGTTGCCAGGAAGATGGGCGCCAGAAAAACCAGCCAATCACTGCCGACACTAGAACCAGCAACGTGGTGCTTTTCCTGCCACACTGGACCAGCTGTTGTCCAGGCAACAGTTTCAGGTTACTGTTCAGAAATGGACCTGGTTTCCATTCTCCAAACTCAGCCCTTAGAGGAACCAAAGACTGCTCACTGACTCCCTCTGTCAGCGGCCTCTCTCTGGACTCTTAGGGCTGTAGCCCTGGCTTGCCTGAAACTCGCTATGGAGAGACCAGGCTGGACTAGATCTTGTAGCCTTTCACATGATGGGATTACACGTGTATACCACTAGGCCCAGCTTTTACTTATTACTTTTTGATTCAGATATATTTTAAACTCCGTCTTCACACTTAACACAGCACATGTATATTCACATTAAAGACTGGCATATAAAAAACGTAAACTTTTTAGCATAGTAAAAACATCTGATTATAGAAATACATATTTATTTGTTGGTGTTGGTGGTACACGCCTTTTTATACCAGCACTTGGGGGGCAGAGGCAGAGGTAGGCAGATTTCTTGAGTTTGAGCCCAGCCTGATCTACAGAGCTAGTTCCAGGCTAGCCAGATGCATAGAGAAAACCTGTCTCAAAAACAATGCGATCTCGTGCACATGCATGCACACACCACACACACACAGAGTTTTGTTGTTATTGCTTTTAGAAACAGGGGTCAGGGATTCTTTGTGTAGTTTTGGAACCTACCTGTCCTTTAACTCTCTCTGTAGACCAGGCTGGCCTTGAACTCACAGAGGTCCACCTGCCTCTGACTCTCTAGTGCGTGCTACCAACGCCCGGCTTCTTTCTGGCTCTTTTTTTTTTTTTTTTTTTTTTTTTTTTAAGTTTATTAAGTGTGGAACTTTCCCTCCCTTCCTTCATTTTTAGAGACAGTCTCTGTACACTGTACATAGTCCTGGCTGTCAGGGCACTCACTATGTAAACTAGGCTGACAGGCTGACCTTGAATTCAAAGAGATCCACCTGCCTCTGCTTACCAAGTGTTGGGATTAAAGGTGTGTGCAACCACTTCCGGCGGCATTTTCTTTTATGTGTATGAATATTTGCTTTTATGTATTTCTGCACCACTCGCATGCCTGGTGCCTGTGGAGGCCAGAAGAGGGCGTCATAGCCATGGAATTGGAGTTACAAATGTTTGTGAGCTGATATTTGAGCTGAGAATTGAACCTGGATCTTCTGGAAAAACAGCCAGTGCCCTTAACGGCTGAGCTGTCTCTTTAGCCCTGGGAGCATTATCTGTATTGCTGTACAGACATAACTAGCAGCACAAATTGGAATAGAATGAAACCTGTCTACTCTTAGCAGAGTCACTTAAAGAAAGGGAATGAGCAGTAGTCAGCTGTCAGTATACTAACCAATGCATAGCTTTAAAAAATAAATTGCTGGGTATGTGGCACACACCTTTAATCCCAACAGTCAGGAGGCGGAGGCAGGTTTACATAGTAAGTTCCAGGCCACCCAAGACTACAAAGAAGATCCTGTCTTAAGAAAAAAAAGAAAAAGAAAAAAAAAAAAGGACTTTTGAACCTTTAAACAAACAATTATAAAACAACAAACCCAAAACACCACCACCAAAACCAAACACATGCTGATTTGACTTTGGCTCTCTAGCTGTAGTTTGTGGGTCAATGTCATATTTGCTAAGCCAGTGTGATTAAACACAGGAGAAAAAAAAAGCCCAATGGACGTTCGTAATTCCCTCTGATTTCATATGCATAGCACAGATAAAGAATTCAATAGTTGCAATTGCATTTTTTGCCTATGTGTGTGTTGATGCCAGAAGTCAACTTTAGGTGTTTTTTGTTTGTTTGTTTGTTTTGTTTTGTTTTGTTTTGAGATAGGGTCTCTTACTGGGACTGGAGCTTGCTATGTTTCTAGCTTTACAGACTGAGCTCTCTCTCCAACCCAAGTTCTGTTTTGTTTTTTTGTGGGGCTTTTTGTTTTGTTTTGAGACAGGGTTTCTCTATAGTCCTGGCTGTCCTGGAACTCACCCTGTAGACCAGGCTGGCCTCTTAATTCAGAGATTTTCATGCCTCCTGAGTGCTGGGATTAGAGGTGTGCTGTACCACCACTGCCTGGCCTCTGAATTTTGTTTTTTTTTTTTTTTTTTTTAAACTTAAGGCATCTGGGCTAGAGAGATGGTTCAGAGCACTGGCTGCTCTTCCAGAGGATCTGAGTTCAATTCCCAGCACCCACATGGCAGCTCACAACTGTCTGTAACTCCAGTTCCAGGGGATCTGATACCTTTCCATCAACACAAAGTTAAATAAATTATTCCAAAAAAAAAAAAAAAAACTTAAGGCATTGCTCTGTTAACATAGCTCATATTCTTATGAACCATGAAGCCTCCTTAAGACAGAGACCCACTGTTGTGCTAATACAATTGTTTATGATTTAACAAAACCACTGGAGATCCGAATGCAAAGCCATTGAGCCAGGTAATGGTGATACACAACTTTGATTCCACCAGCAACACTGGTTAGCTATAGAATCTGGGCAGTGGTGGCAGTAGTGGCACACACCTTTAATCCCAGGACTCAGGAGACAAAGGCAGACAGATCTCTGTGAGTTCAAGGCCACCCAGTTTAGACTAAAAGGGAATTGGTCAGCACTCAGGTGTGGGTGGGATGGATATCTCACTACAACCCAGGGTCCCATTATAGTGAATCAGTCTGAAAGAGAAACAGCTCACACAAAGGAGATCTCAGCACTTGGGATCCCACATCTTTAATCCAGCTCTAGAGAGGTATATAAGATAAGAGCAGGGCATTCAGTATTCAATCTCAGAGATTTAGTTTCCAGCTATGCTGAGGACAGACAGGACAGCCCTTTCAGTCTGAGGTAGAAAGAGCCAGTGGCCTGCTGCTTTGCTTCTCTGATCTACAGCTTGGACCCCAATGTCTGTCTCTGGGTTTATATTATTTATGCTACACACTGTGATATTATTGTATTTCATTTTATCCCCAGTCATCTGAATTGTATTTCTTTGAGGTGAATGTTTCTAGTGACTAGGAATTTAAAATCTTGACCTCAACCTTTAAGGCTCTGTATCCTTATCCATTCGAACAATAGTCACATAGGTGGATGCTCAATGAAAGGCAAAGTTATGAACCTACAGAATGATCTGGAAACAGAAGAGTTTGGGACCTTGGGAGTGAAGGAGCCCCAGGAGAGGCCACATCAGGGCCACCTATGTCAAGGAGTTTCCCACAGAACTGCTAATCCAGCTAATCCCCTGACCTGCCCACAAATTTTGTTTTGTTTTTTGAGAGAGGGTTTCTGTGTAGCTTTGGAGCCTGTTCTAGAACTAGCTCTGTAGACCAGGCTGGCCTTGAACTCACAGAGATCCACCTGCCTCTGCCTCCCCAGTGCTCAAATTAAAGGCATGCACCACCAACACCCAGCTACGGATTTGTTTTTTTGTAATTTTTATTTTTCTGTTTGTCTCTCTGTCTAGTTCAGAGGATGACTTAGGGGAGTTACTTTCTTCCTTCCACCATGTAGGTCCTGAGGATGGAGCATAGGCTGTCAGCTGTCTTCACCTGGTAAACTAACTCAGGCCCTTGTACCAGAAGTTTTACAGACCCAGTTGCTCCTTTGTGATGGATAAAGAAGGACAGCATGTAGTGAATTTACACTTTCCTGGACAAACCCACGTTTTGGCAGGCAGATTTTTTCTCATCACTGTCTCTTAGTTTACTGGCCCTGGATGGTCTAACGGCGATTCCAACATCAGCGGTGTGGGGCTGGGCATGTACTCTGTGGTGTATGAGGAATAAAAAGATATTGCTTGTACCTGCCCTCAATTAAACAATCAGTGAAGGCAAGCAGCTTGTGATTTGCACAGACTTTAGGTCCTCTGCCTCTGGGATATCTAAATCTAGATTCTGATTCTGTTCTGGATTCTAGTTCTAGATTCTGTCAAGCTGATTTTTGGACTATTTTGGAAGTTGGAATATTTTGAATTCCAAAAGGGCTAACCAGTCACTGGCAGGGTGCTACAAGACCACAACATTGTGTGACTGCCCCTGTTTTCCCCTCAGAACTCTGATTTTTCAAAAAGGCTTCCAAAAACTAGTTAAGTCAGATGACAAGTCTAGAAGAGTGTTACTTCTCCCCATCTGCTCAACTAGGCTGCTTGTTTGTAGCTTCGGGATAGAGTGGTGGACACTGCCATCTTGTGGCTGAGGCTTGAGGAGCAGGTATAGTCAGCTCCCGTCAATTTGATTTCTTGGATTTGGAGGGCCCGACCATCAGCCCCCCCCCCCTCCTGCTACCCTTCTTCATGCTCTCCCACACCCGCCCTTTAGTCAGTTGCTGTGGACAGCGTGGTCTCACTCAGGACCAGAGGGTGTTGGGGTGCTCACTGCTTGTTTGTGTGAATTCTATTCTTCGCATGTTTTGCTTTAGATTGATAGAAAATAAAAGAAAAAAGAAAACAGAATCAACAATACTTTTTGAACAGCCTATATTTTGTGTGGCCTCTACAAAAAGCCCTGAGGTGGGATTGGCTCTTAAAAATCAAGACAGAGAGATGAAAGGTATGATCCAGCAGGGCTGGTATCTGGCAGGGGTGTGTGGGATAGGGCTTTGTTCTGAGTCTGGACTTTTATGAATAACCACTCTGAAGGATGGAGTGGAAGTGAGCAGCGAAGGGCTGTAACTCAGCTCCCTGATGTGGGTGCACTGTGACACTGCATCGCAGAGCAATAAATCTTGCTTGGGAGTCAGTAAGGGTTCTGAGGTTGTGACAGGCAAGGGCAGTGATATGACCTCTGGAGGTGGAGGGGCCTGGTGATTCAAAACTCTCTTCAGTTGGTTAGACAGGGAGGAACTAGGTCTGATCATTAGGCTTCTGGCTGCAGTACAGCCCAGAGGATTGAGCTAGAACCCAGGAACATTTTGGATAAGATAGGAGGTAAGTACCAAAGGTCGGACTAGTTAGAGATCTGGAGGAGTTTTGAACTCTTCTGGTGGGTCTGAGGATGGGAGTCTCTGCACCTCCTAGACTCTGACTTCCAGAGTTGTGCAGCACTCAGAAGCCCCACTAAGGTTCCTTAGTATCTTCGGCCTGTCTCAGGTTGGGGTTTAAAAGATTGCCTTTTTCTCCTGGGCATCTGTTGTTGGAGAGACAGGCTCAGCGACACAGGATCACCCCTTCCCGAAGCTTCCCTACTCCCTGGAATCCTAAGATTTAGAAGATGCAAGACTTTCTAGGCTTGATGCTCTTCTGAAGATCTCCAAATGGGCTTGGTCATTACACTCATGTTTCTGAGAACCATCAAGCCCAGGCATTCTGGGCAGCTACAGAGGGAATTGGTATGCCATCTTGTCTTTGGGGAAGGGACCCTAGGCATTCATCAAAGCTGCAACAGAAGGCCAGAACTGTGAGCGTGAGAGTTTGTGGCAAGCTTCATAGCAAAAGGAGAAAATGAGACTTCTCCCAAACATCTAGCTCCAGCGTTTCCCAGAATGACCAGCTGTAGGAATTCATTGGCTAGACATTTGTGACAAACAGCATTCTGGATAGTAAGTTTCCAGACTCTTGTCTCCGCGCATGCGCTAGCTGGTTTCCCAGAGATCCCCACGCGGACTTCCGGTACCAGGAGCTGATGGTGAAGCTCTTAGCGCCTGTGCGGCTCTGAACGTTATGTTCTGGGGCGGGGCCGGCGTTCCGCGCGGTCGGCTCCTGCGGATTTGGCTTCCCAGGCGCAGGCCGGAGGGCACACTGTCCTCTGGGTAGCGCGGCCCGCGGCGGCTCCTTGCTCTCCCGGTCCCCGGGCAGCACAGCTGAGCCCGCCGCTCTCGCCAGGCTGCTGGGGACCTTCCCCTTTCCCCACGTCCTGTCCAACGACCCTGGTGAGTCCGGGCCCTCCGAGGACATCTCCTCGGTCACTGGAGAATGAGGCAGAAGGCTGGAGAAGAGAATCGTAAATAAAGCGTTTTGGTAGTGGAGAAGAATTGGAAATCGCCCGAATGCATCACTCGGGTCGGTTGGGAAACTGGAGCACCCCCATGCCGCAGAAGCTTTATAGGTCCACTAATGAAGAAACGTTGCTAGTTGAAAAACGCAAAATCCAAAGTGATATGCTCATAAGATCTCATTTATGTAAAGCACACATAAAACACTTGTCAATTCTGAAGATAAAAATTTTCAATAAAAGTGCAGGAAAAAAATATGGCACCGTCATGTATTAGATTGTTAGTGAATCAAAAGAAACGTGTTGTTAACATTCCCCTTCCGTTTTTAAAATTATGATGTTCATGCCAGTTACACTGTTGAAACAAAAAAGGGCAAAAATTAAAATAACACCTAGAATATTGTGAAGCCGTAGCAACATAAAATGCAAGTACATGCCATATGTTCACATATAGTTGTGAATAAATGGCATAGTGGTGTCCATGAGGCCTCTGATAACCACGTTTTATCTGGAGTAAGATGTTTCTGGATTTGTAAGTTTTTTTAAAAAAAAAAAAGATTTTTTTATGTGTATTGAATGTTTGCCTTCATCTATCTAAGTGTACCACATGCATGCAGTGCCCAATCAAGGGCATCAGATACCCTGGAATTGGAATTACAAATGGTTGTGAGCCTCCAAGTCGATGCTGGAAATTGAATCTGAGGCCTCTGCAAGAGAAACACATCCTCTTAACTACTTAGCCATCTCTGTAAATTTGTAAATTTTCAAATTTGAGCAAAATAACAGTGGCCTTTCAGTAGAGGGACTTGAGACAACATTCATAATTGAACATGAAATTGTAAACATTTTTGAGACAGTTTTGCTCTATGGCCCACACTGGTCTCTTAACTTTAGGCTTGCTTTAGTCCTTACAGTTTTGGGATTTCAGATGTATGTCACCTTGCATCTACCATTATACCCAGTGAAATTTTACAACTGAAGTATGTATGCTGAGAAGCCTACCTTAAGAATAGCTCAGTGACACTGGGTGATGGAAACACGCCTTAATCCCAGCACTCAGGAAGCAGAAGCAGGTGGACCTTTGTGAGTTCAAGGCCAGCTTTGTCTATAAAGTGAGTTCCAGCCAGGGCTACACAGAGAACCGGTCTTGAAAACACTCACCATTACCACCACCACTACCAAACAAAAAACAAAAACAAACAACAAACAAACAAAAAACCCTCAATGACTGAAATTTTGTTATATTTAGTTATTTTATGTGTATGAGTGTTTTACCTGCATAGATATGTGTGCACCATTTATGGAACTGTTCCCTGAGGAAGTCAGAAAAAGGGTTGGGTTGTCTAGAACTAGAGTTGTGAGCTACCCTGTGAGTGCTGGGAACTGAACCTGGGTCCTCCATAAGAGCAACAAATGTTCTTAACCTGGGAGGTCTCCAGTCCTCAGTGATACACACACACACACACACACACACACACACACACACACGAGTCTCCTGTATCCTAGGCTAGCTGCAGACTTTCCATGTAGCTGAAGATGATCCCAGTGCTGGGATTATAGAAATGTACCATCCCACCCAGTGCTGGGGAATCATTTATGCTAGGCAACCACTGTAACAACTGAACTACATTCAAAACTGGCTTAGGGGGGCTTTACAGACGGCATAAACATGCTTAATTCTGCTACTAAGCATGGACAGTTACTATAAATGAAGATAAAAGTATGTTCATATCAACAGATGCAGTAGTGCTTCCAAATGAGTGAGATTAGGTTTTGCTGTCAAACGGGCCATGAAAAGCCCAGATTTGGGATGTCAGATGTAGTGATAAAGAATGTGGGTCTGTGTGGAGCACACCATTACAGTGAAGTCTAAAGAGGCTTTAGAGTTACAAAAGGATACAGGTACCAGAGTTCCTAAACTTTGCTCCAGATTGATGTATTCCACTCTTCCTCAAATACTGTCCTTTTGCTCTTTCCAGAGGTGTATATGCACTGATGCCAGCCCAGCTGTCACAGAGAACCTCTCTGGGAGACTCAGCTCTGGAGCCCTGAGCCTTAGGCCAGGGGAATGGCATCCTTCCAGGAGCTCCAAGACCATGCTCCTGGAGAGGAAGATGGGCTTCTGATAGTGAAGGTGGAAGACTGCTCTTGGGAACAGGAACCTGCCCAGCAGGTGAACAGCAAGGATTCAGAAGCCTACCGCCAGCGCTTCCGACAGTTCTGTTACCGGGATGTGGGTGGGCCGCATGAAGCCTTCAGCCAGCTCTGGGAGCTGTGCTGCCGCTGGCTGCGGCCTGAGCTGCATAGCAAGGAGCAGATTTTGGAACTGCTGGTGCTGGAGCAGTTCCTGGCTGTGCTACCCCGAGAGATCCAGACCCAGGTGCAGAGACAGCACCTTGGGAGTGGTGAGGAAGCTGTTGCTTTGGTGGAGGACATACAGAATCGGTCATTGAAAGCCTGGCCACAGGTGAGGGGTCCTTTTCATGTCTAGGAGCCTAGAGAGTGGAAGAGGCCATCTTCATTAAGATAAGTCTCTTCAAGGGGCAGGAAACAACCGTGTCCAGGGAAACACACAATCCCAGTGTAGCATACAGTGCTTTTCTAAGGACAAGTCTTGAGTAAATGTAGTCTGTTTTTCTTGCCGTCATTGGATTTAAAATGGTTGTGCTCCAGAAAGGTTTAGTTTTTATTTAGTTGTGTTTTTGTTTTTGAGACAATATTACTCTGCATAGCTGGCTGTCCTGGAACTCACCCTGTAGACTAGGCTGGCCTTGAACTCAGAGATCCAACTGCTTCTGCCTCCCCAGTGAGTCCAGAAAGGTTTTAAGCCTCACACAACTATTTGTGCTCTGCTCTAGTCAGTCTACTGACTACTCTAGTTAGTCCAATACAGTGGTGTACATCAGAGGGTGTGAGAAGATGGAGCCATCTAATGGTACTCTGTTGTCTTGAGTCCTTGACACTGGGAGCTTCTGGGGATGTGTTAAGGAGCAGCGAGGGTGTGGGGTTCTGCCCTTGGCAGGAGAACTCACCCCACTCCTTTCTCCCTTGCTAAGTAGCTACAATTCTAGCCTTTTAGGGACTGGTTCTTGTTGGGTTTTTGTTTGTTTTTTGTTGTTGTTGTTGTTTTGGTTTTTTGAAATGGAGTTTCTCTGTGTAGCCCTGGCTGTTCTGGAACTCACTTTGTAGACCAAGGTGGCCTCGAATTCAATGAGATCTGCCGGCCTCTGCCTTCAAAGTGCTGACTGGGTTGGTCTTTTCTGGGCCTCCATTTAATTTCTTACCCCACCCAACCCTCAGCTTCCTAATGGGTGTGTCTCATACCTCCTTCCCTTGCCCCCACCTCTAGTCTGTTGTCTGTGCTGATGGGCATGCTATGGTTACTGCACAGGATGAGCCCTCTGAAGTGGAGCCTAAAGCAGCAATCCAGGGACTCCAAGCCACAGGACCTCCCCAGAAGGCAAGGGTGCAGAAGCAGCTACCTGTATCCCAAGAGCAACACAGCCAGGGTGGGTAAGACTCTCCAGTTTGCAGTGTGACTACACAGGGCCAAGTCTTCTCTAGAATTGCCCTGAGGGTAACAGGCGCAGGGAAGCCCAGTCACATGAGCATATGTGTGCATGTATTTGGTGTTTGTACATGTGCAAGTGTAATGAAGTCCTTGCCCTTGGCCTGTATGAAGCTCTGTTCTTTTTCTGTAGCCCAGCTTCCTGTTCTTAAAGAGGGACAGACAGGAGAGATGATGGATGTCTGCTTTGCCTCTGCAGTTCATGTGAGTTAGTAGTCCCTTTGTTCTCAAAGAGGACTTGGTACTCTTGAATATATAATTTGATCCCTCCTGTCCTCACTCACAGCTGTCTGGGAGACCTGAGCTGGATCATATCTCCTCAGTTCAAAAACCTGTGGCATTGGGAGACATCCCTTTCTATTTTTCCCAAGAAGAATGGGGCTCCCTGGACCCTGCTCAGAAGGATCTCTTCTGGGACATAAAGAGAGAGAACTCCCGGAATGCTGCTCTAGGTAAGCAGGTCTATGGGATCCTTTTTCTGCTGTAATCCTGGTTTTTCTTCCAACCCCTCCCCTAGCCTGGAGCTAGCTTTTTCTGAGTCTCCTCCTATGATGTTCAGGTGTCTGTGTGTCTGTGGGTTATGTGACCAGTTGACCAGTGTTCTCTGTGTGCCAGCTTGTGTCGCCCTGTGGAGGGCTTGTAAGAGCATTTTCTCAGTCAAACCTCAGTCTGTTACATAGGAGAGTTTGTCCCCAGAGGACATTCTGAGATTCAGTGAGGTTGATGAATCTTGTCAGCCACAGACATGCTAAAAACAAGACACAAAACAAGCAAGAGCCCCCAGTATTTGAGGCCACACCAGGAGTTCCCTGGTCTCATCTTGCTTAACTGGCAGCACTATGAGTGGGCTTGGGGCCCCTCCCTGTCTAAGGCTGGAGTGTGCTGTGTCTATCGAGCTGGAGTTTAAGGAATGAGGGGCCACAGGAGGTACACATACTGGTGCCTTCAGTTTTCAGTCAGGGAATGAGCCATTGTCTTTAGCTGTGGAGAGTGGCACTGGCCACTGGTGGGGAACAGGCAGAGGGTCTGTGTTATAACAGGTGCCTCTCTACAGAAGTCCGCTCAGCTGGTCTCCCTCAGACTGCCTCAGAGCTGCTCGTTTGTTGGCCTGTCATCGTTTTCCCATATCATTTCCCATATGTGCTTGCTTGGCAGCGCATATACTAAAATAAATTGAAACGATACAGAGAAGATTGGCATGGCACCTGCGCAAGGATGATACACAAATTTGTGAAGCGTTTCATATTTTTTAAAAAAGTACTTGTGAAATAAAAATACATTTAATATTTTTATTTTATGTGCAGTACAGAGAGGGGCATATGTGGATGTCAGAGGACGGCTTTCTTGAGTTGGTTCTTTCCTTCCATCATGTAGGTTCTGGGGGGCAAGCTCAGGTTTGGTGGTTAGGCTTGGCAGCAGGTGACTTGATCCATTTAGCCATCTTGCTCGCCCACCTAGTCATTTTGTAGGTGAGAAGCGGAAGCTTGATCTGAGCTGGAGCAGCCTGAATCTCAAAGCCAGGGAGATTTCCCTGAGTTTCTTCAAATCTCTTCCTGTCTCAGGTCTCAGAATCAAGGGGAACTAAAGAGGCTTCTCCCCTCCTTGCAGGTTTGGGATCCAAAAGCCAGAGCGAGAGAGTTTCTCCAGACAAGGCCATGACGGCATTGTCGGGACAGACTGACTGTGAAGTGACTATGTCCTGGAATCCCGAGGAGGCTGAGACCGAGGTCTGGGAGAGTGAGACCCCACCGAGGACAGCCCTGGGCGCGCTGGTGGTGGCGCGTCGGGGCCGACCGCCTACTCGCAGGCGCCAGTTTCGGGATTTAGTGACTGAGAAACCGCATAGCTGCGGGCAGTGTGGGAAGCGCTTCCGCTGGGGCTCAGACCTAGCCCGGCACCAGCGAACACACACTGGTGAGAAGCCACACAAGTGTCCTGAATGCGACAAGAGCTTCCGCAGCTCCTCTGACCTGGTGCGTCACCAGGGCGTGCACACGGGTGAGAAGCCTTTCTCCTGTGCTGAGTGTGGCAAGAGCTTCAGCCGCAGCGCCTACCTAGCTGACCACCAGCGCATCCACACAGGCGAGAAGCCCTTCGGCTGCAGCGACTGTGGCAAGAGTTTTTCGTTGCGCTCCTACCTGCTGGACCATCGGCGTGTGCACACGGGCGAGCGGCCTTTTGGCTGTGGCGAGTGTGACAAGAGCTTCAAGCAGCGGGCACACCTCATCGCGCACCAGAGCCTGCATGCCAAGATGGCCTAACCTGTGGGACCTGAGAAGCCCAGGGAGGTGGATACTCCCTGTGAGCCTCACAGCCTCTCTTCTTTGCTCCTCTTGGAGAATTTTCCTCTTGCCTGTGACCACTGCCAGCCTATCGAAGGCACCCCAGTACTCTGAACTGGCCTGCCTGCTCCCAGGATCCTGCAACCTGTCTCTCCCCTTCCTGCTAGGTTTCTCTTCCACTTGTTTCCTGGAGCTTGGCACTTTCCAGTTGAGTATCAGGTGGTGTGAGGTCTCAGACAGCACCTAGGGTTTCTCCCCAGGACCCTCTAGCCTTGCTTGACAGAGGCTTTCTGTTTCTGTCTACTTGTGCCTTCCAGGGGGACTGGCTTCCATCCTCAGGGGGCCTCTGGGCTTTGGGAAGGACCATGGGCTCACACCAATGACAATTTAGGTCCTGGGTTCCATCCCAGCAGCTTCCTGGCCTTCACCACTACCCCCCACCCCTGTCCCCCACTTGCAACCTGTAACCCTGTAATTTGTCCTCCCTGACCCCAGGAAGCTGCCTAGCTGTCCTGCTGTGAGCCCCAGACATACTTGCCTGCAGGTCTGGAGGTTAGTGGAGGTGGTACTGGGACAGCAGGCCGACTCTGGAGAGCACCCTTTCCTGCAGAGGTGTCCTTACACTAGCACTTCCCAGCACTCTGTAGCTGGCTCCTCAAGCACTGTATTCCATGCTTTTAATCTGCATTGTGTGCAGATTGACATTAACAGGGGCAGCCAATGGACCCTCCTAAAGGCTCAGCCTAGTGGGTTTCAGAAGAGTTTCTGAATAAACATGGAAATTTTCCTTGAGGCTGTCATTTTTTAGCTGGCTTTTCTGAGTTAGGGACTTGGAAGTTAGTTACCTCTTGGCTTGGTAACATTGATGGTTACCAACTGATGGTGTATGCAGTCGCTAGGGGGAGCCACATCCTGTACCGGCAGCCCTGTGACTCTCCTGTGTCAGTCGGTGAAGTCCTGGTTTGGAAGAGCAGGGTCCAAGCCCTGTCAGGTCCTCCTCCTCTGCAGCAGTGCAATGAGCAAGGGGCTAAAGTGGGATTGGCTGGGTACTGCCCTGTGGGATCAGAGCTCAGACTCGCCCTGTATGGGCTTGAAGCTGCCAGAGGTTAATCAGCCTAAAGGAGTTATTCCCAGCTAGCCCTCTACATCCCACCTCCCCATCCTAGTACAAGCTGGCGCCTACGCGGAGCTGGTGGTGCCTGGTCAGGGCCAGTCACTCCTTGTCTGACTGCCGCTGATCCTCTTGGTTCATTGTGGCAGCCTTAGAGGGCCTCACCTGGGGATAGATAGAGACAAGATGTTCCTGTCCCTTATTAACTGATTTGTGTGTGCCAGCCTTTGTCTCCAGGCTTCTTCCTCTGCCAGCCCCCAGTTTAGCACATCTGCCTTGTGCCCTCAACCATCCCATTTCCCACATGAAGCAACTAAGCTCATACTGTTGACCAAGCAGGTTTCAGTCAGCTAGCTATTCCTACCTCTGTAAGCTCTGCACTGTTGTATGCTTAGGCTTTGTGCACAGCCCCATGGAGGGCGAGGTGAAAAGAAAAAGCTCTCAGGGCTTGAGAGTTGGCAGCTCCCTCCTAAGGGAGGCACTTAGGTGTAACACAATCAGCTAGGAGCATGGGCCAAGGGCTAAGAATAGAATTGAGCTCATGGCTCAGGTGGGAACACAAGAATACCAGCCATAAAGTTATCAGCCAGAACTGAAGAAGAGAGCTGGGCTGGGGAAGTGGAGTCCAGGGTTACCAAGGAAGGGCAGAGTCCAGATGGAACCATAGCAGCTGATAGGAGGCAACTTGTGTAGAAGAGGGCAAAGATCAGGCCCCAGCATACTGGGAACCAGAGCCAGGGAGTAAGCTCTGGGCTTGGAGGAAGCCCCACTTGGTCCTCATGGCCTTCCTGGTGTCTGGGACCCTACAGACAGCTGCACAGTTGGCAGATGCTTGGGACAGCTTGGGGAGAAAGGTAGTGAGATGCTCTGTTTGGCCCAGTCCATTTCCAACACTCAGCTGGGCTCCAACCCAGGACAACTCTGGTTTTCCTTCCCCAGGGAAAATACAGTGTACAGGGTTCAAGGGTAGCCTTGATACTTAGCACCCCTGGGGTGTCTGCAGCTGCAATTGCTGCCTTGGATGGTGTGTCCCAGGCTCTGGGCTTTGAAATCCATGAGAAGAGGAAGGTTCCAGTCCAGGTGAGCTTTCCTCCTGAGACCTTCAGCCCTCAGCCACAGCACTCACTTTTAGCTGGGGCTTCACCAGACTTTGCCTCTTTCTCCTAGAGCTTCCTTGAGGAGCTGCGTTTGTTCCGGGAGCAGCTGGATGTCCACAGGGGTGTTGTGGGGTGTGCCCTTGTGGTCTTGATGGCCCCCAGTGGACAGTTAAGGTGTCCACAGCTGCTGACTCAGGAGCTGAGTCACTGTGGGGCCCTGCAGGGTTGCCCCAAAATCTTCCTGTTGTTTTCTAGTGACCTCAAGGGTGAGTGACTAGACGGTGACCCCAGTTCTGGGAGGGAAAAGTGAATGAAGGTGGGGGGTGAGCAAGAAAGCTGGGACCTTCTGTCTACATACACAGCCCTGTGGTGCTTCTCTACCAGCTGCCTGGGAGCCTGAAGCTTTCCTTATGGATCTGGGGAAAATCTGTAGCCAACATCCTCACTGCTCACTGCTGCAGCTGCTGACAGAGGTGGGGACCCAGAAGAAGGGAAGGGGGACCCATGTCTCTGGCTCCCCAGAGCCGGTTACAGTTATTAACTGATTTATGTGATTTATCCACACTCTGTTGTACCTGTTTGAAAATCTTTGTCAGCCACACACATACACGGGCTGCAGGACATGCCTTCATACCTACTGGGACCACCCAGACTCCAAACTTCCTTTTACATCTCGCGCCTTTGCGCAAAGTATTCCCTCAGTGTGACGCACCCTTCCTGTGGCCTGGCCAGTCTCACTGTCATCAGTGGTACTCTTCCTTGTGCTCCTGGTATCTACAATGAAGCTTCAGCCGTACCCTTTGATGCTCACACAGACAGCGACTGCTGCCCTGTTATTTTGGAAGACCCTTGTGGCTGAGATAGGTTCAGGTTCGGTCCTGAGGTCTGAACATCTTTGTCAGGTAGTTAGTGGTGTCTGGGTGGCCTAGAAGTGTAGACGTGAGAGCTGTGAGCCCCAGCTCTGCTCATGGGGCTCTGGGCCTACCACCTCTTCAGGTATGCCACCTTGGGGGTCCTCCTCCACAGACCTGTGCTCCTCCAGGAAGGGGCCTGCCTCGTGTGTATTAATCCCTGGGATGAGATCACTTGAGTATGGGATAGAGCTAGGTCCTGCTTAAGTCCATCCTGACTTCTGTGTTCCCCTTTTTCTCCCTGCCATGACCTCCAAAGCCTGAGTAGTCCTGAGCGGGCTAAGCTTCCCCTGGAGCCAGGATCCTGACCCTCTGCTTGGGTTGTGCCCCCACCCCCAACAGTGCCTTTCTCTGAGGTATCCTTGGGCCCTGCCCTCCTAGCTCTTTTGCAGAGTGGCTGAAGAGTCTGCTGGGAACACCTACTGCCCATTCTTTAGGACCACCTTGCGGGGGACCCTGTGTTTGGGAGATGTGGAGCCCTGGAGGTCAGAGGTGAGGGGCAGGGAGGGAGGCTAGTCCTGTGTGGGCAGTTGCAGGCTGGATGGAGAGATACAGGGAGCCCCCTCAGCCCACTGCATGTCCCTAATCCTCTGTACAGTCAGACTCCAGACCAAGTACACAGTATGACCTGTCTGGGACCAGGGCCGCCCTCCTACTGGCTGTGATTCAAGACCGGCTTGGGACACAGCATGATGTGGCAGCACTCAGGGAGCTGTGCCAGGCTCTGGGCTTCACGGTCAACCTGAGGACAGACCCTACAGCTCAGGTCAGGGGAAACCCAAAACTGGAGGTGCTTGGAAGGAAGGGCACCCCTTCCGTAGGGCCCTGGAGTTTTCCTTCCTGGGTGTCTCCCACATCACTGGCAGGAAGTACACACACACACACACACACACAGTCTTGCCTCTGGCTTCTTTCTACATGCATGTGACAGTCACTTCCCTAACTCGGGAAGCCTGCTCTCCAAGGTAGAGACTGAAGTGTCCCCAGCCCCATGGAGATCAGCCAGGGGCTGGTTCAGATCGTGACCTTGTCCTCACCACTCCAGGCATTCTGGGAGGAGCTGGTTCAGTTCCGGGAAACACTGGACACTCACAAGGGCCCTGTGAGCTGTGCCCTGGTGGCCCTGATGGCCCACGGGGGGCCACAGGGGCAGCTGCTGGGGGCTGATGGGCGAGAAGTACAGCTGGAGATGCTGGTGCAGGAGCTGAGCTGCTGCCAGGCACTGCGTGGCTGCCCCAAGGTCTTCCTGCTCCAGGCCTGCCGTGGGGGTAAGGGGTCTTGCCTCCAGCCCAACCACCTATCCTGGCTTTCTGCTGCCAGCCCTTGGCCTCCCACATTGCCAGCCCACCTTCTCCAGGAAGCCTACACACTGGCCTTTCTCTGCCCCTCTCCATCCTCCCCAGAAACTTAAGCCTGTATGAATATTGCCAGCTCTGTAAGCCTGCCCACTATTTATATGGAGTCTTGATTGCCCAGAGATATCCTGAGATACCACTGAGTAAAAGTATCTGCCCCTCTGCTTCTTCAGGGAACAGGGACCCTGGTGTGGGGCCAAGAGTTCTCCCATGGTACAGGCGCTGGCTGCGAGCACCCCCAGCCATCCCCACCCAGGCAGATGTTCTCCAGATTCATGTTGATGCCCCAGGTGGGTCTGCCTTCTTTCTAGAGCCTGGCCTTGGCACACTGGTGGTGGTAATCAGTCATGGCATATGTCTAGGACTGTCATCCTGGGTTCTGCCCCTTCTTTGCCAAGACTCAGGGAGGGAATGTCTCCTTTAGCTGTGAGGGACCTAACTAAGCCGAGCAATCTGAAGTCAGATTCTTTGAGTTCATACAGCCTGAATGCTAAGGCTTGTGGTTTTCCATCTGTCTTCCTGCCCTGAATTTTCCACTGCCCTGTGCTGCCCTTGAACTAGAGACAGACCTGAGGCAGGTGTAGTCCCAGGGTGCTAGTAAAGGAAATTGACTCTTGCAGGCAGCCCTCCTTCCACTCCAGGGAGTTCTGGCCAAGCAGACATCCTTACTGTCTACGCAGCTGCTGAGGGTAAGTTACTGTGGACCTAGCTTCCTGCCCTGAGACGGTGTGACTTTATTATCAGCAAGAATAGGTGTACCAGCTCATCTGCAGTTAAGCCATGCCCCCCCCCCCCACCACCACTTTATTCTTATAGTAACAATGACAGGCTTTTGTCAAGTGCTCACTATGCCAAGTCCTAGTATCTTTCTTCAAAGACAGGGCAGGTCTGCTTGCCTCAGGACCCTGACCAATGTTTGATACCTAGCAATTCCACAGCAAATGTTTGTTCTACATTGATTCTACCCAAATACTCTACAATTATCAGCAACTTCTCCTTGATACAAGAAGTCCCTGACCCTGCTCTGGTCTCAAGCCAGATACCCAGAATATCCTCTGCTTTCTCTTCACACTCTTCACACCCACAATAGGCATCTGGGGGTTGGGATCCAGAGGGCAGAAGCCCAACGTTGATTGACTCTTTGGCCCCATCCCCTGACCTAGGCTGTGTGGCCTATCGGGACGAAGAAAAGGGCTCAGACTTTGTTCAGACACTGGTAGAGGTCATCAGAGCCAACCCTGGAGGAGATCTCATTGAGCTGCTGACTGAGGTGTGAGGGATGGGGACAGGGATAAAGAAAGGCTGGGTTGGTGGTAGTGTCCCATTACCTCTCGCCCCAGGGAAAGGAGAAATCTCTGTCTGCCTCCCCCCTCTCTATATCTGTCTCTGTGTCTCTGTCTCTCTCAATAAACACTTTATTATTAGGAGGGATCTGTGGCCCTCACAATATGAAATGATCAAACACACATGACACCCTGCTCAAAACATCTCAGCAGCAATATATATATATATATATATATATATATATATATATATATATATATATATGGTGAGGAGCCTTTCCCGCGGGGTGGAGGCTTTTTTAGGTGAGAGTAAGGAACCCATGTTAAACCTCTGGGGTAGTGTGAGGCTCAAAGATGATTAAGTAGCACTTGAAATTTTAGGTTTACAGAACAACAGACAAGAGCCTGGTGTTGTGGAGCATGCCTGTAGCTAGAAGGTTGCGGCAGGATTTTGAGACTAGCCTAGGATAGTTTCAGAAAGCATCCCCTCCCCACAAAGTAACCGCCAGGAAACAAGGACCGCAGTGGGTGTGCCAGACTGAGCTCCTCGGGGCCTAGATGAGTGTCGCTCTTCAGGTCAACAGGAGGGTATGTGAGCTGGATGTGCTGGGACCAGACAGTGATGAGCTGCGCAAGGCCTGCTTGGAGATCCGAAGCTCGCTCCGGCGCCGGCTCTGTTTACAGGATTGACAGCCCTGCTACTTCCGCTCCACCCCCCCTTTCAGCGATCTGTCAGTGATGCAGCATCTTGGGCGTGGGAGTTCAGATTGTGTGTAATAATTATCTGTTCACAGTCGTTGTGCTCCGGGAAATGCATGTTCTCTCTGAAATAAATGAGGTAACAGATAAAGTACCTGACATTAGATAGGGGAACAACTGTGCTCCTTGGGACCAGAGGTTGGACTGGGGTCTGTCTCGTGTCTGGGACTACTAGGGAGAAAGAAGTCCTGGGAAGGACCAGCTCAGGGACCATAGTTCTCCCCTGGTAAGTCCCTGGTGCGTGCGTTCTTCACTCTCCACCTGGCTCTGGGCACCAAGATGCAACCGAAGCGAGTCAAGTCGGGTCCGGGGACTGGAAGAGACTATTGCGGATACACCAATGATGTGATGGCGCAAGCGCATGGGTTGTTCCTGATCCTGAGTTGAGGGCCAACAAGTGGAGGAGGAGATCCGAATAGCGAGCCTCTCGGATTCAGAGGAGCTTCGGTTCGCAGACTGCCCAGGAGGGCTCATTCTGATTCAAACTTGTAGAAGCTCCCAAGCAGCTCTCACTAAACAGATTAAACCAAGGAATGAGACTTTTTTTTTTTTCCAGTTTAAGCATGCGCAGTAGGCTCTTAAGAAAGCCTTATGGTGAGAGCGAAAAAGGAAACGACAGTGGGGCCGCGTGGCCTAATGGATAAGGCGTCTGATTCCGGATCAGAAGATTGGGGGTTCGAGTCCCTTCGTGGTCGCTGCCAGTAGTTGGTTTTTACAAACTCCATAAAGAATTCCCATCCCCAGGTTTTCTTCTTTTCACCTCAGGACTCTCGGAACCGCTCTCGGGACTCCCGAGTCTGTCTGCTATACCGGGCCACAAGAGTAAATGAAGCTAGCTCAAGACAGACGACGACCATAGAGCGAATTAGCGCTGAAGAAAAATGAACATGCCAGACTGAACTGTTTGCTGGAGGGCCTGGGATTTGTCTCGAGGGGAAGCCAAAGACACTTTGATTAAAAAACTCAGGCTAACCGGTTGATTGCACAATGTGGTGAATGCAATTAATGTCACTGAACAGGACATCTGAAAATAAAGCAGTAAGTTTGGTATATGTATGTATGTATTGTATGTATGTATGTATGTATGTATGTATGTATGTATATATGGCCACAGGCCTAAAATCCGTGAAACAATCTAATAGATTAGAATTCTTACAATGTGAGGGCGCCCTTGTCCAGGCACACAGGTAGTCCCACCCCGCATCTGGGAGGTGATGGCAGGAGAATTAAAGGCCAGTTTTGTCTCAACAACAAAAAGCTGTCTCCTTATAGGTCCAGTGTAAATATAAAAATTTAAATGGCAAGAATATGTCTAGAATTGAGTTGACATTTCACGTGGGGCGGTCGGCGCGGGGGGAGGGGGTCCTTTTTCAATGGATTCGATGTAAGAGGAAACGTCTTTCATCCCCTCCCCCCCAATTCCTAGGAGAGCTACAAAGGGCGAGGGCGAGGGCAGGGAGCCAGCTAATGTGGCTCAGACTGCGCAGAATTTTTTTTTTTTTTTTTTTTTTTGAGGGGGAGAGTCTCAATCAAAAAAATAGGTCAATAGGTCAGCTGTATACTTTATAAAGGAAAAAAAAAAAAAAAAAAGTGAAGGCCGATCCTACCAAGTAGCATTTGGTCGAAGAGACAGAGAGAGAGGACTGGACAGAAACCGAGCACAGTGCACTTATTTTTTTTTCCCTGGACAGTGAACTTGCTCTGCAAAACACATATATTATCGTTCTGGCTTCTGTGTCCTGCATCACAAACACTTTTTCCCTACCCCCCGTAGCGGTTCAAAGGGATCATTCAATATTTGAACCTTGGACACCTTGCACCACAGAAAGACGTTATACCCACTCTAGACTAATGAGCTAAGATAAAACCAGTGATGAACATTTTTCAGTTTCTTCTTCACAAGTGTGGCTCCTTTTAGATCCTCGAGCCTTGACTTAATCAGAGATGGAGCAAAAGACTGGGAAAAGGGCAACGAGTTGCAAGGAAGCAATAGGCAGACAGAAATAATGGAAAGAAACAAACTAGTGGAAGAGACAGGGCGACTCAACCTCGTCAGCCCCGGTGGCCTAATGGATAAGGCACTGGCCTCCTAAGCCAGGGATTGTGGGTTCGAGTCCCACCCGGGGTAAAGCACAACAGTTTTAGGCTCTTAAAAACACCTGGAAAATGAAACACGAAAGGAGGAAAGGAGTAATAAATAAATACATCTACTACTACTCTAAAACTTAGAGTGATTTTGACCTGTCAAGTTTTGTTTTCAATTTACAAAATATCGTGTGATTTCGTTTGAACTATTTTTATGAGCCACCAATTGTTCCGATTATAGATGTGAATTTTATTGTGGTTCTTTCTTTTTTTAAAGTTGCTTATATGTACACCAGACAAGGCTCATAACTCACCATCCTACATCTTCTTCCTGAACTTCCTGAACCTTCGAATTACAGATGAACACCTCGACTCCAGGTTAGGCTATAGTTTTGTTTGTTTGTTTAATCTTGTATTTGTTTTTTGAAACAGGATTTCTTTGTGTAACAGTCCTGGCTGTCCTGGAATTCTCTCTGTAGACCAGGCTGGCCTCGAACTCGCTGAGATCTGCCTGCCTCTGCCTCCCCAGTGCTGGGACTAAAGGCAAAGTTCTTTTCTTTCCTTTCCTTTTTATAAACCCAATTATTTAGAAAATAACTTCCAAGACAACTGCTTAGTTTTTTAAATTGTAGATTGGGATTCAGGGCATAGTTCAGTGGCAGACTGAATACTATTTTCTTAGCTTTAGGCCATGTTAGATAATACTGCATTTAAAAAATACATATATGCATGGCTTCATCCTTGAGGCAAAATTTTCCCAAAATACAAGGCTTGATCTATTGTAAAATTGGAAGCTTCTGATGCCTTATGTCCCAGGTAACCATCCCAATCAATCCTGTCTTCTTTCATAGGAAGGCAGGCCTCCCTGAGGTTGCTGGCTCACCTTACATGTGATTCTGCAACATGCAGGGTGGAATTATATTTTCTTTGTCTGTTTTAGCAAGAGCAGCCAGCCCTGTGGCTACAAGATGCTTGTATGGAGGTCTTTGGGGTTTTGGCCTTGGCTTTCTAGAGATTCAGCATTCAACAAGAAACACTTCTTTTTTTTTTTTTTTTTTTTTTTTTTTTTTTTTTGGTTTTGTTTTGTTTTAGAACAATTCATGGTTTTTATCACTTAAAGAAAGATTCAAAAGGAGGGTGGTGGTGCTCAGCTATAATTGTAACATTAGGGAGGCAGAGGCAGGTGAGTCTTTTCGAGGCTAGCGTGGACTACATCTCGAGTTCCAGGACAAACTGGACCGGAACTTGCTTTAAGCTAGGGGGTAGGGTGCGGGCGGAGGGGGGAGTTTCTATTTATTTTGCTTTCTCACCTTCAACACTTTCACAATGATTTCTGCTCCCCAAGACAGAAAGCAGACACTTTTAGCACCAATGGATTCACCATAGACTCCGCTAGAAACTTGTTTGTTTTAGACAATCTCGAAAGGACTCGGTTGCTACAGCACAAGACGAGGATTTAGGTGCTTTCCCGACTTTTCACGGCATACAGGTAAAACGATCAAAACTGGACCATTCTCATCCTCTAAGCACCATCTCGGATGGAAAGAGGACGCGCTTCTTGAACTCTGTTGAGTCAGCACCAGTCTTGGGAGTTTCTAGAAAGTCCTGAGAAGTGGCGCCCCTCGCGAATTAGCGTCCATAAGAAAGGGTCGTGAATGTTCTTTGTACTGTACCTGGAACTTATGTAAATATATTTATGTAAATATATTTGTAAAATGTCAGGTTAAATATATGAAAATAAAATATAAAGATAAGGAAAGATAGCTCCATCGGCTTCTGATTCGGTAGCCTGCAGTGTGGAATAAGCATACTGGACGGTATATGAAATCCTCAAGCATGCTATCTATTTACCTGTTGCAGTATACAGACTTCTGACCATTTGGTGACAAAAGGACACGCCCAACGTGGGGCTCGAACCCACGACCCTGAGATTAAGAGTCTCATGCTCTACCGACTGAGCTAGCCGGGCGGCGACGACAGATTTCTTCCCCGAAAGTCTCTTGGAGTTTTCTAGAACTTCTGGGTTCTAGAAGAGTTGGCCGTCTACAACAAGCATCTAACCTTAGATGGTGGTGGGTTCATTCCTCCAGCCTCCTACAATTGCACGGTCAGGATCTGTGTGGCCACTCTTGTTCCCGACGGTCACAGGATAGGGGACAAGGTGGTTGTCTGTGAGGATATTAGTGAAAACCCCGTTTAAGGCCTGATTGGAACATGTGCGAGCTCGTGCTTTCAAACTCGCCGCAGGGACACTGGATCCCGTGCCAAACGCTATGAGAGGTGAAGTTTGGAGCGTTCGTTCTGCCGCTCGATTCGAAAGAACCGAACCCCGAGTCAAGCTCTGGTTTCTGTATCCGTGTCTATGAGCTGCGTAGATCTTCAGCGCCGAGTCCAGGCCAGATCTGCGGGTTCTTTGGAGGATTCTGGCTTGCCCTCCCCTCCCCCCACCCCACGCTTGAGCTCGCGGTGAATGGCGGATCAAAAGGCAGCAATCCCCGGTCTCATTCTCGAGGTTCTAGACTTGGATTCTATCTGGGGTGAAATTTCTAAGCTGGGGTTCACCAGGAGATCGCATTACTCACGCGAGTTCTCCGACTTCCCTTTCCGGGAGGATGGTGGTCCCTGTTCATTCATGCCGAGTGCTGGGCAACAAGGCTGGGGTCTGACCTTCCTTGAGCGTGTGGGAACTTTCTCTTCCATCCCCACAGTGCTGCATCTCCCTCGGTTTTCTGGAACTCATGGAGAAACGAACTCCTAACCCTTTCCGGCATGACTAAAATGATGGATTTACGGATGTAGTGTGTCGGATTAAGGATGAAGGTGTCCAAGGACGTATGCCAGACCTGCCTTCCTAGGTGGCTCGTTGGTCTAGGGGTATGATTCTCGCTTTGGGTGCGAGAGGTCCCGGGTTCAAATCCCGGACGAGCCCTTACATAATTTTGGTTTTA